AAAATGAACTAAAGAATTGATAATATCATATAGCACTGTCCTTTCTTTTAGCATGTTGTGAACATGTGGATATATTTAAAGGTCTCCTTTACGTTGGATAATATCAAAGACAGATCCAATTGATTTTATGTAACAGGCTATTTCAAAGTACTGAACTAGTTGAACTAATGCTTTCTTGCAAAATAAATAATTCGGAAAGAAAATAGATCTTTATTCTTAAATCCTCCTCCCTTCTCAATTAATTAGATTTTGTTGCTGAAAGGAAGTTAAGAAATTCAGCATAAGCCTGATTATATCATGAATGTAAAATGAGCAGGGCAAATAATGCGCTCTATACTCTTTCAAACAAGTTAAATAAGTCCATAATAGCCCACCAGTTGTGTAAACACTATTTCACTATACTTGTAAAAGAAATATTGACTTACCTGTTAACTAAAATCATCCTGGCATGCTTCAGCTAAGCTTATTAGTAATTCTTGTGGTGTACATGAATGTTTTTAGTTGTGGACTTTTATCAAAGATTAAAGAATTAGGAAATCATCCATTTAGCAAACCCAGAAAGCAGACATGTACCAGATTGCGCTTTACCAGAATCGATTTTAGGAACTTGGAATCAAAGACTCTGAGAAGCAATAAGTGACTTAAATTCTGGCATGAGAGCTTCCATTACATACCAGCTCGTTAACACTGACATACTTCCAAAGTCATAAATAAGAACATTTCACCCCGACAAAATACTGAATGAATCTGCTTTAGACTATCTATTACAAGTAAAGGTACTGTTGTTTGCTTTGACATCTCACTAGTATGTGTTCCTATGAGTTATCAAGAGAAAACAGAAATGTATATATTTAAGAGGAAAAACCTTGAATATATACTTGTCTACTCTTCACACAACAAGCCACCATTCTCTGTTCCAACTGGCTCCATTGCAATCCAAAAGACTATACTTTTCCTTTAAAAAAAATATGTGATGGGGTCCCTGGCTGGCTAAGTCAGCAGAGCATGCCAACTCTTGATCTCGGGGTTATAAGTTCAAGGCCTACACTGAATATAGAGATTACTTAAAAATAAAATCTTTAAAAAATAAAAATTTTTGAAAATATGTGAATTTCTTTCTCAATGAAATGACAGTAACCCCAAGATCTTATCCAGCTTAAGAGTGTGTATGTGTGTGTGTGTGTGTGTGTGTGTGTGTGTGTGTGTATGTGTTTGAGGGTGGGGAGTGGTAGTGTTTAGAATTCTCAAGAGATTTGGAAAAGAAAGTCAAATGACTCTAGTTAGAATTTTAGCTCTATCACCTTCTTGTTGGTCTCCATTAGGAAAACCATTTGCATTTCCTATCCTTAAAACTGGTGTAAGAATAATATCTGTCTCATAAAGTTGTTAAGAGGACCCGGTGAGGATATGAATGTATAAAGGCTGAGTCAATGCTGATGGTCATTATAATGCAATTTGAGAACCTGATCTTACAAATTAAACAGACAGACTACTCTTCAGTGTCCTTACTGGAAATTTTTTTTTTTTTTTTTTTTTTTTTTTTTAGTGTGCAAGGAATCTGATGTGCTGTATTCTCATCTTTACTAGCTCAGTTAAAGTAACAAACATACATGCATTCAGGCAATAAAATTATAATTAGCCAAATCATTCCTATTTTCAATGTATATGATTTTTCTATCTTGTAAGGTCTATGAGACCTTGGGGATTCATCAGGTCACTCTTAAATATCCACACTTCCTGTGCCTTCAGGTTTTTAACTGAGCATTCTTGCTTGTAAGTAATCACAAACAAATTCCCACTCACCACCTCAAACAAAACAAAATTCATTAGTTCACCAATTTGGAGGTGATGAGTAGAAAAACTCTTAGCTCCAGGTGTTTAAAAGATGACCCTAGGATTTTGCTTCTCCCTTTACTAATGCTGATAAAGTCCAGGGAGTTTTCTCTACAGCAGAATAACAGTGCGCCTGACTCTAATTTTCCTTGTCCTTACAATTCAAAAAGCCAGAGAAGATCTTCTCACTCTAGAGTCTATGATCATCTCCCAGATTCAGATTGTTTTGCTTGGGTCATATGCCTGCGCAGGGGCAGAGAGGTAGAGCCATACAATAGACAGCCCCATCAGAATCACTTAAAGGTTCCCAAGAAGTGTGGAGTGTTCCTACCAAGAGGAGAGAGGAGAAACATTGGCAGGAAAATAGACAGGTAGATAGATAGATGATAGATATAGATAGATAACAGATGCTCAGTATACCTGGCTTCATTGAGGACAGCTGTCTACCCCCATTTTATTGAATCAGAAATCCCTCTACTCTCCATGAATTTATTAACAAGCTTTAATTCCTGAAAAGAAGAGGAAAGGCACTAACATAGGATGAAAATCTACTCTGCTCTAGGCCAAGTTTGAGACATTTTCACATTTAGAACAACTTAGGTGAATAATTACCCCCCACCCCTTTTACAGTGAGAGTAACTGAGACAGGTGGGCTCATTCTGTGCCTCTGATCAAATAACCTGAAACCAGCAGAACCTACATTCAAATCTGGTTCTGCCTGATTCATTCCACAACTAGAGTGTTATGCTCTTTTCAACAACCCTGAAGTCAAGAAAGTATTGCCAAAAGTTTCTAGGCAGACGGTGGACACAACCATATTTGGATGCCTGTGTTGATAAATCGATCAGTCAGTAAATATTTGTTAGGTTTGGGGTCACTACCAGGAGCTTCAGTCCTACAGGTAGAGATAAGACAAATGGCCTAGTCCCTGCCTCCAAAGTTGTCCCAATAAGGTTGGCAAAACAAAACAAATACGCTTTCAAGTAAAACTTCACAACTAAATTTTGTAGTATTTACAACATACCTTTCGGTGAGATTCATCTTCTGGGGGAGTCTCCTTTAGACTGCAAGCTCCACACAGAGAGCTAACTTGCCCCTCGGGTCACTGCTACATCGTGATCCTCGTTCTACAAATATTGGTCGCTTGATGATGAAGGCAGACTGCGGTCACGGGAGGTTTCGTAAAAAGAATAAATCTTGAGTTGCACTTACAAAGTAAGTCATCTGGGGAAAGAAAAAAGGTGGGAAGGAAAATAGGCAATTTGTTGGCATTCTATACATGTGGAAGCAATGGCTGGGAGAAACAGTAATGCAGAAATGAACAAAGTGATGGTAGGGGATGTGGTGTGTATAGGGATAAGTGGAGAACAGTCCAGAACTGGGAACTGCCCTCATGTCCAGAAACCAGGCTTAACTCACAGTTTTCAGCAGCCACTGTCAAATTTTCTGATATCTCTGGGCCACAGCTCCTTTATTTGCAAAATGAGGAGGATGGAGTTTCTAATTCTCAGCCACTCTACCCCTCCATCTAATCCAGAGAATCACAAACTTGCAAATGATGGGATTCACCCAAGAAAAGGACATGATCAGAATACTGATTTAGGTCCAGGTACCTATATTAACCATAAAAGCTCCACAGGTGATCAGCCAGGTGCGGGGATCACTCCTTCAATGAAGGATGGCAAATATACCTAACAAAAAAGAAAAAGAACTTCCCAACTGTAAAATTCTGAAGTTTGTACAGGGAATTCGGTGGGAACGGCAAAGTGGAAGAAGACTAAAAGAGGCCTCGAGAGCCAAAAGTGTTCTCCACCTTCATAACAAGGAGGCATTGTGCCCCAGAGAGAAAATTGTGCATTTTTGTGAGTTGATGTGACAGGCTTGGGCCGTCACCTCCTTAAGACCCTCTCTCGGGGCCTGGAGACTTTGATTTGTTCCCACTGAGGGCTTCTCTCCAAGAAAGCCCCAAGTCCTTCTTTCTTCCCTAGTTTCACCATAGGGCACTTGCCGAAGCGCGCGTGAGAAGACATTCTGCCCTGGTACTCAGCAAGTTTTCCCAGAACCCGGCGCCTGCCGCCTGGGCACTGGGGGAGGGGAGCGGCGTTGGAGAGGGGGGACACTGCACTTACAGAACACTGGGGGCACTTGGCAAGAAAAGGCCCCTCCCTGAACAAAAGCAAATGGCCATCTGTCTGTCCGTCTGGCATTGTTCTTCTAAAGGTGACTTTCCAGGGGATCCTGAAACACTTCAAAAAAAAAAAAAAATAGCCATTTCGTCTTTTCACCCCAAGAGTTAGGAAGGCAGAATTGCAGTACTTGCTCACGAGACGTATTTACTTAGCCATTAACCAGGCACTTTGGTTTTAGGGCAAAAGCGAGCTAGACAGTGTGCTGTGAGGTAAGGATCAAAGAGGCCACCCATCGTTCGCCCGGGAATACCTGTTTCCTTACCCTGATAACTTTAACTATTTTTCTGGACTGAATTTTAGTCTTTTTTTTTTTTCCCCTCCAAATCACTCCATGTATTCCATCCGTTATTTGAAGTGGGCTTGGAGGAAGCGTGCTGCATCCTTCAGTCCCTGCGCAGCTGTGTGTCCCTCAGACCGGTCCCTTTCGGCTCTCGGATCTGGGTCGCCACCACGCAAAGGGGAAGGGGGGGTGCCCCAGCCCTCACACAGTGCTGAGCGCCGGAATCCGTCCGGCGGCCACCAAGCCCGAGCGCCGAGAACTTGCCTGCACCTCTTGCCGCCAGCCGCCTCCCAGCCGGCGCTCGGGAAAGGAGGGAGGGGGCGGGAGGAGGGAAAGCGCGGCGGGGCGGGGGGGTGTGCCTGGGAAGCCGGGCTGCGCTGACGTCACTGGGCGCGCAATTCGGGCTGGAGCGCTTTAAAAAACAAGCGTGCGAGCGGAGATGCTGCTCCACACCGAGCAGGCGGCCTGCAGCAGCAACGCTCTCTGCCCCTGCGGCGGCTGCAGCCAGGGCCGCTGCGGAGGCCCGCGTGGCGGCAGCGGGCACGGCCGGGACCCGCGGCGCTTCTCCTCGGCGCCCCCGCCGTGGGGCAGGAGCCCAGTGCCCAGCGCTGCAGGCGCGCGCTAAGCGGCAGAGGCCCGCGGCAACCCGGACGCTGCCCTCCGACCGCGGCTCGCTCCCGGCCCCCTGCCCGGGCACCATGGACACCTCCCCGGTCAGCGTGCTCCTGTCCTTGCCGGTCCTGTTGCAGCTGGCGGCCGTGGGCGGTTCGCCCAGGCCCCGCGCGCTGCTGCGGGGGTGCCCCGCGCACTGTCAGTGCGAGCCCGACGGCAGGATGCTGCTCAGGGTGGACTGCTCAGATCTGGGGCTCTCGGAGCTGCCTTCCAACCTCAGCGTCTTCACCTCCTACCTGTAAGTGCGCCCCGCTCCGCTCCGGGAAGGGGACAGATCGGGGGAGAGCAGCCTGGGGGTCTGGAAGGCACCGGGCGAGTTTGCGGAGGGCATCTTGGACAGACGTGTTTGGGCCCCCGGGGAAATGCACGTGTCTCGGGGGGAGCACGGGCGCACTTTGGGGGCCCGCAGAGAAACGGCTTCAAGTGCAAGCCCCAGAAAGCGCTCGTGCGTCGCAGCTTCCCGATGCAGCTCTAGGCAGGTCGCAGGGCTCCCGGTGTAGGCATCTGCTTGCAGTGCAGGCATATGCGCCCCTGAGCCTGGGTAAGGGCGGGCGGCCCAATTGATCCCTGCTGCAACCTCCCCTCCGCGTCCAGACGCGTTCCACGAAGACACCGGCTGTAAAAAGTTTCCCCAAAGGAGAACTCCAACTTGCTCAGCCCGGAAGGAACTTACTTTGCATCCCTAGCACGGAGGTGTGATGTAACCTTTTTCTTTTCTTTTCTTTCTCCCCCCCCCCTCCTTTTTTTTTTCTTTTAATGAAGTGATTAAAATGTGGCAACCACAAACCCTGATTAGAGCTGCCAGAACGTTATCTTTACCTTTGGCTGCCCGAGCCGCCCTTTGAAGTGCCCGCGGCCACGGTGTAATCTTTAACCATCTCCTCCTCCCGGGGAGGAAAAGGGAAGTGGGCTGAAGGCGGCGGGCGGGTAAACAGCGGCGCCGACAACCCAGAGGAGACCCGAAGCTCCGTCATCCCTCGGGGATCCTCCCCCCTTTCACCCCCACCACAGCCTCCAAAGCCCCAACCGCGAAGACCAGGCAGGGGCTCATTTCATAATTTTGTCTCAGGAAAACCGAGACCCGAAGGATAACAGGTGTTTGGGTGGATGAGGTGACCCAGGAGGAACCCAATTCTCGGGAACCAAGGCGACTACTTCCCCCAAACCCATGGAGTGTCTGCGGCTCGGTTCCTTCGGGCAGAGGGAGACTAGAGTCAGAGCCACTCTGAAAAAGGGGTCACGAGGTGGTCACAAGGTGACCCGTTAAAGTTTTAATTCGAGTCACCGCAGTGAGCCCACCCCAAGCCCACGCCATGCCAGTTTCGGCTTCTCTGATGTACCTTGGCAGGAGGGAGTTGGGATGTTTGTGTGAACTGGTTCTTTCCTCTGTTTAGTTGTTTTCTGGAGAAAAGAAACATGAAGAGGCTTGCATAAGGCCTTCCACTAGATAGTGATCCTTTTTCTGGAGACAGAATGAGAAAGAAAAAATTTATTTGCTTTAATATTTGCATTGAAAAGAGGGCACGATCCTGCTAGATTTTAGTGTTAGCAGATGGCAGTCTCCTTCTCATCTACCATAAAACTGTTTTGCATGCTTTTTTCTTTACTTGAAAAAATTATAAAATTATGTATTTCCCCACCAGGTTTTCCTCCAATTGCACTCAATGCAGGTGGTATGTTTACACTGGTGGAAATGACCATTCTCTAAGAATTCGCATTTCTTCCCCCTCAACAGCAGTCTGTTGTACTACAAAGTGAAAGGCTCATCCCCAGCCTCCGGTTTAAACGCTAAACTCACTGTTTCAAGAATCATAGGGTCTTCTGTATAGTGAATTTTTGAGAGCAGTTTGGCAACTACGCTCAAGAGCCTGGAACTATTCTTCCCCATTGCCCTGAAGAAATTGATTAGTTACAAGGGAGGTGTGCAGTCCCCCCAAACACGGATGGATTGCAATCATACACTTGTCATAAGAATACAGAAAATAAATTTATGAGTGGTGTCAGGATGCTTTTTTTTCCTCCCACTTGAAAGAGTGAACATTTGTTAGGCTTCTGTTACTAAAAGTTGGCATCAAATGCTGTTTCAGATGATTTCCGACATACCTCAAACGCATCTAACTGTGTCCTCCATGGGTGAGGAGATCTTCCTGCCACCGTTCCTTATCTGTCTATCATTATAGATAACTCCTTGGAGTTAAGATAGCGTTGGGAAGTTAATTGTCATCTCTTTCTCCGTGCGGTTTGATGACAGCCTGTACTCCGGCCTAATGGGAAATTTTCTCAGTGCGCTATAAAATATTAATTTCAAAGTGTCTGAAAAGTGTCCCAGTGAATGTTAAAAACTTGTTTCTCGCTGCTAAACATGTCAGGCACCATCAGTGCTAAATGTAGAAATCAGTCCTGAGGTAAATAACCAAACCCATGTTCCTCATAAGGTGTGGTTTCAGAATTTAGTCTCCTTATAGAATACAAAATGTCAGGAGCCACCGGATGCCCTTTCTTGGAGGGGGATGGGGCGGTGGGTGAGGGGCTTAGAGAGTTTTGGGTTTTGTTTTCACAACCACAGGAACTCTGTGTAGACATTAAGGGCAGATGGTGCCCTCTTTTGGTTACACCTAGAATTATCTGACCATTTCTGCCTTCACTTGTACGCTCCTAACCTGAAAGAGAAATTTTTATTTACTCATAATCAAAGAAATAAGCATGTATTGGTTTCCTTAGTTTAAGAAATAACTTCCCTTTGCTCTTGAAAGAGACCATGAAGTTATAGCCGGGTACCGCTGGGGCCCCACCATAATTAAGCTTTGGCGAGAACATCAAACCGTGCCCAGGGTTGTCGTGGGTAAGAAGCCAGACTGCTATCTTTAATTGTTTGTAGTAGGTTATCACCATTTATTTGAGTCAAAATATTATCTCTTAATCTTCCTTCCCTCCCCACAGAAGAATAAGCGTTTAATTTTCTTCAAACAGATTGATGATGGCAAGTTGCAGCTGGACACATTTGGCAAACGGATTTGCCATCATCTGATAGCTGGCTAGCCAGACTCGTAGGTAAAGAAAGTTTCCGGAGCCTCTTCATAGAAGGCAACAGCTATTTATGTGCAGTTTTGTAATCTTTGTTCCCCCAGAAAAGCTCAGTGTTAAGCCAGTCTAAACATTAATACTGATTCTCTTTTCTTACTGAACTGCATTCCCCAGTAGATCTGTATTTGGACCACTAAACATGGTGGAAACACTGGAAAATCTCAATCTTAATCTTCTCTTTCTCTCTCTCTCTCTCTCTCCCAGTCGTTTTGGGCTCTGATTTCACAAAATAATAAATAGGCTGATAAAGCTCCCTCTGCATTAAAATAAGGGAAACACTAAGGTTGAGACCTAAAAGCAGGCAATAACTGGTTACAGTGTTTAATACATTTCAGTCTACCAGGAATGATCTATCAGAAATAAGCAGATGATCTTATTATAGATAAATTATTTTAATGCATGAAACATGGACATTTTTTGCTAATTGGGTCTCAAAAATAATTCCCCCTATGCTACTTAGATGTGTCTTTCCCCCAGTTAGTGTGGCATCCAGACAGAAAACTAAATCCTTATGAACATCCTAATATAGTTTCAGTATAGAAAATATACTTTTCTTTATTGATCTAGAACAGCCACTTTATTTTTAAATGAACGCTGAGTTTTTCCCTGCTATTGCTTAAACACACGAATATTTTATCCACAAGCAAATTCATGTCACATGAACCAAAGGAACGGGGAAAATGAATTTTTTAAAAAATTTTTGTGTAGCTTGCTTACTTTTCCATATGCAACTTTATAACAAAATTTAATTTTACACATAGTTAGCAAAACTGGTATTAATAAAAACTGATCAAAACCCCCAATTATAACCAATTAAGTATGGCCCTGGTGTCATGCATATGTTTTAAGCACTTAAGATGCAGTTTCAAAATTAAAGAATATTTTTAGAATCTTCTTTGAAATGGTTTAATATATTTCTGCTTCCCTGCAAGCAAAGAAAAGTATTTTAAATCAAAGAAAATGTTTGTAGTTTAGAAATGGTTACAAAAGGCTTTAGCTGTTATAACAGTCTTAAAATTTAGGTCTATTGCAGAATTTATGCAGTTTGCTCTACAGACTGCTTTCAAAATTCGTTGAAAGTAAAAAGATGTCAATGACTTTCCTTCATTTTAATGAAGCTCTTTCTTTTTCTCCAGGATTCCCAGCGTTGTTTTAGTAGTGTTTTTGTTAATGGGGGCAATTACTGAAACTCATTGACTAAATTATTCCGAGTGATTTTTTTTTTTTTTAAAGCAGTGGTTCTGATTCAATTTTGTGATGTAGATTTAAAATAAATATTTTCCTGAATATGATCAATATGTGTATGACAGTTTGTGTGATGAGAATGAAGTTTTACATAAAAGAAATATGATCTTCAATCAGATCTTCAATCTTTTTTTTCTTCAAAGTAAAGGAGTTCTGATAGCAATCACAAACGAATTAGAGGATTGGAATTAAAAAGAAGAACCTTTGTAGTTAAATGAAATGTGTTTTGATAATGGAACCATTCCCACTTGGATGTGTTTGAAGTTCAAAAACACTAAGCTGGTCTATGATTTCTCGAAGTTAAGTTTTTTAACTGAACTATTTGATTTTTTTAATTTCCAAGGCATCTGTCAAAGGCATAGAGATAGTATCCATGTAAGCAATTAACTCCAAAAAGCTGTCATATAATAAACATTGCAGAATATTTGTAGTTTTATAACTGATACCTAATAGCTACTGACCTTAGTAGAACACTTTTTATATTTTTTCTATAAAATTCATACATTTAAGTCATTTTAGCTATAAACTGAAGTATGTTTCCAATTAATCCAAATCACATGCCATAAGATAGAAATGGAAAACAGTAGTGAGCTCTGCATTGAGCAGTTCTGTGGAGTAATTTTTTGTTTTTGTTCAGTTACTTATATAAATTTAGAATAATGCTAAATGGTATATTTCCTCGTAAACACTCCACAAGTGGATATTTCTGGCAAATTAAATTCTTCATGAGAAGGCAAATTCTTTCCTATGAGATTCAACCTCTTCACTCCTGTTGCAATGTTTTCCTTTATATAGTCTCACTTTATAGCACAAAGATGAATCAGACTTGCATCAGAACCACAACTGATATATTACATACCAAAGAAAACAAGCTGATCATCTAGTCCTGTCGCTATTTTTGATGTCTCT